GAAACTTTATAAATATTTTCTAAATTTATTATTATTTTTAACCTTTTCAATTTTTATTTATTTATTTTTTAATTTTAAAATTTTTTATTCTATATTATTTCTTTGTTTATATTTCAAAAATTTTGTAGATAAATAAACTATTAATTTTTTATTTTCTATTTTTTTGTGATTTTCTTAAGAAGTTTTAAACATATTTTAACCAATCGAGATGGTAACTTTACATTATTAACTATTTCACATTTCATATGTAATACAGTTTTAGAATTCTTAAAGTAGGATGTATTTTGAAGATGAAATCCAATTATGTATTGAAAATATTAAATAATTAAAAATTTTCCTTTTAAAAATAAAAAAACTGTTTACTAATTCATTCAAATTACAATTAATTTTCCTGTACCAATTTCAAATTACAGTAGTCTTCCTGAGCCTGCCGGAAACTTGACAGCATTCATGGATGCCCTCTTGTGCATCCACTTCATTCAACTATCTGTACGTTCTGGATACTGCAGTGGTGAAGCGAGGGAGTGCAAGGGGGTGTATCATGCACAGGGCACCACTCGCAGAAGGGTGCCAAAATGGTCTCCAAGACAAACTATATGTGTTTCTGGAGGGGGCGCAAATAAAGTGTTGTGTGCCGGGCTCCAGTTAGGTTCACTACGCCACTGGGATACTGGTACAGTGGAACCTCGGTTAACGAACGTCCTGGTTAATGACCAAATCGTTTAACGAACTTTTATTTTGCAAAAATTTTGTCTCGAATAATGAACAAAATTCGGATAACGAACATAACGGTATTTTGTGTCAAATTTTAGTTGGCGTTAGGCATGCGTGAGTTAAGCATTGCTTTTCCGAGTGTTTGTGCTATACTTCTTTTTTCGGTTTTGTGATTTATATATTTAATCAATATGGCATCCAAGAAAGAAAAAAGTCTTAGTGGCAATAGAAAACAACAACGCAATATAAACGACAATGCGCTATCGCATTTGAGAAAAATTTTGATTAAAATAGTAAGACAAACTTTAGATCAATTTCTTCTTCCTTACAGAAAGAGTTTGTTTGTTTGTTAAGTTATGGCAATGCAACACTTGGGCGATCTGCCTAGGGGAAATGCCTTCAGGGAGGTGTTTTTAAGGGAAACTGGCCCCTATTTAGGCATTACAAACATGGAGAAAACCTGGAAAACTCTACGTGGCCAGCCCGTCTGAGCAAGGTGCGAACCCACGAACTCCCCATGTTTAAGGTACGAAGACCACTTAGCCACTGGTGGATTTTTTTTACTGAAAGAGACTTCGACTCGAAGAATCTTCCGAAGAAGTGCTACCCGTTATTTTTTTGGAGGGGATTCCCCTTCTAAGCATTAAGGTTCATATATCTCCACTTTTCTGCCACCAACTACAACAAATGAAGGTATGTACAGTGCTATTTTATTAAACAAAGTTTACATGTTTGTTGCTGTAATGATAGATACTACGTTTTCCTACATTTTCATCAAAGAAAATTACTGTATATTACAAATAAAATCTCAAAAATTTCGGAGACTAGAACGGATTAATTGCATTTGCATTAATTTCTATGGGAAAAATTGCTTCGGTTAATGAACAATTCAGTTAACAAACAGAGTTGCGGAATGGATTAAGTTCATTAACGGGGTTCCACTGTATATTCTTTGGGATTATATGAGAGAGGGAGTCATATCATTTAATTGGTGGTAAGGTGCTTGAATACGTCTTTGAGACTATCACCAGCAACTGTGATCATCTGACACAAATAAGCATGAACAGATTGTCACAGCAAATATCTAATAACTTTTATACAGATCATGTTTTGGAAAATTCCAGTAGAATTTGATATGATCTGATCATTCATTGGTGGTGAAACTGTTATTGTTTGCATGTCTACTTGAGAAATATTTGCATACTACAGTTGAAGATTTTAAGAACAGTTTAAGATGGACTTTTTATTTTATTGTTAGAGTGTATATTATTAATTTATTCATAATGACTTAAATATAAATCATATACTTAATATATTTAAAAAAGCCTTACTGAAAATTGACATGCAGTATTATTTACTATATCTTGAATTTCTACACCATCTGCAATCTCAACCAATGTTAAACCTTTCTCTTTATCAACTTCAAACACTCCCTATTAAAAATAAAAATGAGAAATTTTGAAGTATGAATACATATCTTTTACTATATTATTGTCAAAAGATTCATTTCAATAAAAAAGTAATATTTTATTTTTAATAACTTACATATTTACAGTATATAAAAATTAATATGAAATATTGTTAAATTTAAATCTTTATCAAATCTTCTACCTATTGTATTTTTATATACTGTATTTAAAAAAAAACCAGCACAATAAATTATTTAAAACTAGGGCAATGATTCTATTTAATTCAACAAATTCATTAAATACTGGGTTATCTGGAAAGTTCAAGTTATAGATACAACATTAATCAATATCACATTTATATTTTCCAGCCATACTTTATTAGAACCAATGTTTTCGGCCCATTTTATGGATCTACTCCAGGAATACTCAGTAAACCGTTCAGTTTGGAAGTATAGAACCCGAAGCAGGCCTGTAAACTAGGCCAAAAACATTTGTTCTAATAAAGTATTGCTGGAAGATTTAAGGAAGGTGTGATATTGATTAATGTTAGGATAAGTTCTTTTAAAGTAAAATATAACTTAAATTTTATTTAAAATAAAGAATAAACTGTATTAAAGAGAAATTTGAAAGTGCAAGACCTGAAACAGAAAAAAATGTATATGGGAATAGAATGGTACAACATATACAACATTTTTCATGAGCAATACAAACAAATGCATCTTCAAAAGTGAAACAAAAGAAAACTGAAGTTAAGAGTTCACAATAACTTATTTAAATCTGACACCAGTGTTGTGAAACTAAGATAAATTTAAAGAAACTGGCAATACGTGGGACAATATATTCTAGTTCATGTATTATTGGCAATATAAACTTAAGTTATTTATTTTTTCCAAAGATGGAAGAAATTTTGGTATGAAATAATTTGTAAAAATTTAAAAAAACAGTGAAAACGTTGAAGTAAAATAACCTTATAAATCTTTAAAAAGTATGATGGATATTTGTTATTTTTAATTGAAAGAATAATTAATTTAGCCTTTCAGATATAGCTAAATATTTTAATAATTATATCATGTGAATCAAGATCAACAGATCATAAAAATAGCTCAAAACAGAAAAAATACTATATGCTAGAGCATGGAGTTTGACCGGTTTAAATATTGGAAGGACGGGCCAATTACAATGGATAAGAAAAATTTTCCATTGTCAGGTTTTGAGTGGATATACAAAATAAAGTGTATCTATTATATACAATATTGGTTTCTACTTTTAATTTTTGTAGTATGGTGTAAAATAAAAATAGGTTGAGAAGGGATAATTTGCTGATACAAAAATATTGGGGAGGAATATGTCTGTTCTGTCTCATATGAATTGATGCCCATGTGATAAAAAATTTAGAAAAGTTTATAAAATATCATGAAGTGAAAATGATACCAAATAAAAATAATTAAAAATATTTTAATCTTGCGAGCGCTTTCGACGTAAATATGCACGTCGTCTTCAGGCAATTCAAAATCGAATAGAGAATTTGAACCATACATTTAAATTTAAACATTAACAATATTAGCCATTTTTTAATAACAAGATTAAAATATTTTTAATTATATTTAACGCCTCATAGTCTGAAGTTTTGGAAGAAGTTTTGATTGAGATAACTGTTGGCGTGACATCCAAGCCCAGTACTTAAGATACCAAATAACACTGTTCTTGCACAAATGTTTCTTTTAGACAAACTTTCTGTAACTGTTATTTGAATAAAATATAAAACCATCATGTCTCTCCAGCAGTAGAAACTTTTGGAGAAAGAAGTTAAGGTGTCCTGTTATAAAAAAAGAGAATCAGGAAATGCAAAATTTTTTCAATGGAGGACAATCTTGATTTTTGCAATGATACACTGCATTTATTGGAGGAGCTTCAGCTTCCACAGGATCCTGAGAAGTGACACTCTTTATTGACTCATCAAAGTTCAGTCTTAAATATGTTTTGAGGCACAATGGCAACAAACATCCATCCATTCTGGTTGCTCATACTGTTCATATGAAAGAAACTTACAACATGAAGGTAATAATGCTGGACAAGATAAAATACAATGAGCATAAGTGGAATGTGTGTACTGACCTCAAAGTTGTTGCAATGCTAACAGGTCTTCAAAGAGGATACACTAAATTCTACTGTATTTTTATATAAAAGGGACAGTTGAGCAAAAACTGGTCACTTTGTGGCAAAAGTGGCTCAATTGTACAAGGTCAAATAATATTGCTTTTCCTGCTCTGGTGGAGAAACTAAAATCCTCTTACCTCTTCTTATCAAGCTCAGTTTGATGAAAAACTTTGTGAAAGGTATGGACATTACCTGAAGCAAAAGTTTTTATATCTGAGAGATGTGAAAGTAAAGGAGGGAATATTTGCTGGTCCCCAAGTAAGACAGCTTTTGAAGGATTCTAGTTTCAAGTAAAAACTTAACACAGTTGAAAGGACAATCTGGGATGAATTTGAAAATGTAAGCAAGAATTTTTTGAGGAATATACTGTACAAGCTAACAACTATGAAGAAACTGTGGAGAAGTTGATAATGTCCTACCAATACTGGGTTGCAATTTGTCATTCAAAATGCAATTCCTTCATTCCCATTTAGATTTTTTATCACCAACCTACGAGCTGTTATGACGAACATGGAAAAAGGATCCATCAGACTCTTTCTCCAATAGAAAAGTGATAAAGCGGAAGGTGGATGAGAACATGTTAGCAGATTACTGTTGGACTCTACAGTAAGAGACTTCAGAATAATAATATAAAAGGAAGAAAACATGTCATTAAGTGTTTCACTTTTTAAATCTATAGAATTATGAAAAAAGGAATAATTAACATGAATTTATTTGTATCTAATTGGCCAATTAGCAATGTGTGTAGCCAATAAATACGATATTTTGAACAGAAAATATTTTCCTTCAATAACGTCATTTCTCTCAAAAGTGGTAGGTGTTAGGCCAATTCTGTTGCCAGATTTGGATTCAGCACCACTGAAACTATAAAAATCAGGAAACTATAAAGTAATAATCATAGAAAAAATTTCATTTCTTCCATTTCATCCTACTTGTTTCTACATAGGTGAAATTAATTGTAATAATATTTACAGTTATTACTTTTTTATGTTCTACAATCTACAGATTTTTCTCTCCCAAGATAAATCTTTATAAATATCTGTTACCAGCTAGCTGTTAGTCATAATAAGGTGTTAAAGAGACTTTTAGCATTTTTTTGTGATTGCTTTTGTAGTATCCAAGTAAAGTAATTATTCTACCAGTAGATTTGATGGGATCTACAAGAAAACATTGAAAACAAAAACTCTGGTCCCAGTACTCAAAAAGAGGAGAACAGAACTTTTGAGAAAAGGCTACACTAAATAATGTTGCTGGATTAGGCTAGAACCTGCCCAATTAGAAACTTTGTGAAATTTGAGATGGGAAAAATTATGGGACTATTGGCTATTTTTGGCAAAAAATTTGTCTTTCTATTTTTCTCATTTAAATTACCATAATTACATTTTCACTGATCATCGCTGAGCAGCAAGTAATTGATTTATTAGCAATTTAATGTTGATTTGCTGCTTGTGACATGTCTTTTTGAGGAATGTCTCTTTTCTGCATGGACTAAAAAAGAGAGCTGAAAACCATGTTGAAATGTTTGTAGGGTTTACTTACTTATAAACTGTGATAGAATTATGATATAAAATATAAAGTGTCTAGTTCGCATTAGGCCTTTCACACGAATAGGCAGCTTTGTCCAAGAACCTATGGATGTGCTATGAAACATAAAATTCAGATAGGCTAATGTTTTGATGGTAAAGCTGGACTAATTAAATTTGATTGTCTAATCTGTTATTTGAGTTTAAAAAGTATAACCCATATTAACACAACATAAATAGGAATTAAAGCATAATAATGTGTGTTGCCTTTCTTTAGCAGTAATTTATTTCTAATTTCAAAAACTCAGTTAGCATCACAATAAATTTTCTTACCCATTGTTTTCACAATGGCAATTCCAGATTGGATAGGATGTGCCAGAAGCAGATTAATAAAGACAAATTTTAATATAAAATTGGATTTTATTGTTGACTTTCTTTTCTGTAGTGCATAAACAATTCCATATAATAACCAATAATGTTTTATGAGAGTGTTAATTTGAATTTTCAGCTCCAAAGTTTCTGGCAAATACAGATGCACATTTTATTTACATGTGTGTATTTTTAACTGTAATACAGTATATCATTTTCCTGAGAAAAACTGAGTGCACTCAGATAATATTTTATAAAAAATATATTGTTTCCTTCCTGTACTCTCATTAAAGATTTCTGAATCTGCCATTACATATATGTATAACAAATAATTGAAAAAATTTCCAAAATGTGTAATATTTTTATATTGAAAAAATTATTATTAATGAGCATATATTTATTGTGACATCATCAGAATGCCAGGCTGCAATTTTTAACCATATTTTTAATTTATTTAATTTAAAATTACTTCTCATTTACATCCTGTCCAACATTCAGGTTTAAACCATCATTCCATGACAAGTAACCTCCTCAAAACACAGCACTACATTTTATTGAATTTTGAGTTTAAGCTTCCACTTACAGTAGAACCCCTCTAGTCCGCCCTCAGCTAGTCCGTCACTCCGGTTAATCCGATCGTGGTTGGAGTCGAGAAACTTGTCCCGACTCGTCGGTGACTCACCGTCCGTGGCGTTTTTCTGTGTTCGTTACAGTATATGTTTTACATTGTGTGTACATGTACAGTTTTGTGTGTGTTTTCAACATTCAGGAGTGAAACATAAACACTTTACTCTTTCATTAAATGAAAAATTAGCAGTGCTACAAAGACTGGACAAAGGGGAAGATTGTTTATTTTACTTTTTTCTGATAATCCGACCTTTTTTGCATTCCGACCATATCCCCAGTCCCAAAGGTGACGGATTAGAGGGGTTCTACTGTATGTAATATATATTGACATCGCTAAGGCTTTTGACT